GGAAGGGTGTAAACAGGGTAGCACAGAGCTATTCTGAAGTGAGCAGTTTTTCTTGGGAGGCACCGCTAAATCTATTGAGAATGAATGATTTTTTAGTTTATTCACCTTGAAGCCCATGAATGTGACTTGTCCGGAAGCAAGGTAAACTCCGCTCTTGGAGATGGTCACACAGGAGACATTGTTGCCATGACCGTGTAGGAAATTCTGTTCCTGAGTATTTAGTGCCTGAATGAGGATGGTGCAACCCAGAGGATAAACCAGATGCTCCTGGTCGGGATGGCATTTTAGACCAGCGGGGACATGTCCTAAAAAAGAGATTAAAAATAAGAGTAAAAAATTAAAAAATAAGTCAGGGGCAGAAGTGGCTGGTGGTTTTTATTTAAATTGAGCACAAAAGAACGCTTTTGAAATAAGCCTTAGTTCAACTAAAATGTGTGTGGTGTGTGTGTGTGTGTGTGTGTGTGTGTGTGTGTGTGTGTGTGTGTGCGCGCGCGCGCCAGGGAGGGGTGATAGGTAATTTTATTCCACTGACGAGAAGGTTGGTCTAATAATATATAAGCTTCTCAAACTTTAAGGTGCATAAAAGTCCCCAGGGGCTCCGGTTAAAATGCAGATTCTGATTTTAGGTCTGGGGAGGGGCCGAGATACTGCATTTCCGACAAGCTCCCAAGTGATGCTGGTGTTGCTGTTGCTGGTCCAGGAACCTCACTTCAGACCAAGGTCCAGTGTCTGTAATTCTGATAAGCACAGAGCACATGAAGCAGGAGAAGCCTGTCTGGGTGAGCGCATAGCCATAGGGAGAACGTGAATTCACTACCTTGGGCAGAAGTTTGGTAAAGATAAAAATTGGGGTTTTCGCTCTAAGTCTCTGGCAGGCTGAAGAATCCCAGGACTTCTCATAGTGAGACCCCAATCCTCCAGATATTTGCCAAGAACCACCTCAACAATTATAAATCTTTGTAATATGTTCTAATATGAAATAGACATGAGTCCTCCCTTGTTACTCATCTTTGGTCAGAATTGTTTTGGTTATTTTTCATATCTATTTTACAATATACACTTTAAACTCAGCTTGAGTACTTGAAAAACTCATGTTTGTATTTAGGGGAGTGGCATTAAAGGTATAGATTAATTTAAGGAAAAACAATTTTTATAATAACACATTATATTTCCTTTCTAAAAGCAGGGTATGTTTTTCCATGAAGTCTCCTTTTATGCTCCCTGGCGGCATTTCTAATATTTCTTCATAAAGATCTCACACATTTATTTTGTTTACTTCTTGGTAGTTTAACTTTTTTTTTTTTTTTTTTTTTTTTTTTTTTTTTTTTTTT